AGCAAAGAATACTCTCCGTAGCCAGGGCTATGATCTGAGCCATGTTACTTTGAAGCTAGATAAAACCCAAAGAATCTTCATAGTCACATTTTTTTCCAGTGCAATTCTGTGGCTGGCTTTCTTGGATGTGCATTTTCTTGCGCTGCTTAGAATGTGAATTCTGCCAGTCAGAAGGGCTGTTTCTCCCAGTACATCCTATGTCCCCATTCCTTAATGAAGTTTTAAAAAGCAAATTAAGCTACATATAGGGACAGGGGAAGTGGAAAATCTGGTTCCTTTATAAATTTGTAACCTGACGTCTGTTACTTATAAGCATCGATGATTGACGATCAAATTAGAGGAAACGTTGCCTACTGACAACCATGTGAATTAGAAAAAGGAAGAAAGAACTAGACTCAGTGGTAACTGTGTGCTAACCCCTCCCCCCCATTAAATCTTACTGCGAGTAAAGCTAGCAGAGAGAATGGTAGTTGCTCTGAACTCTGCTGCGCCCCTTGTCCTGGTCCCTGAGGTACCATTTGGTAGACAGCTCTTCCCCGTATCCAGATCTGAACCTTTCCTGGCCCTTTTCTGACGCCATGACAACTACCTGCTCGGTATTCCACTCCCAGGATAAATTGCTCAAGTCACCCGCTAAGGAGCTCACTTAGTCAGGGCCTGACTGATTTAAATGGTGTTGCTTCTAGTTGTGGGGTTTGCATTTTAGTGGGAGCCTCTTGTGCGGTGAGTGGTGAGTGGTGTAACTGTGAGTGGCAAACAAAGGTGAAGATATTTTAGGAGAGGGGTCCCCTCAGCCCCCGCCTTAGGTAACTCTCAGGCAGCTTCCTGATCCACGTGTTTATAGGAGGCCATAGACAGCAGCCCCCAGGAAGCCCGGAAACATTTCTGACATTCTGTGAAATCACAGTCTTTTTGACCTTAGATCACGATTGAAAAGCACAATGAAAAGTAAAACTGATAAATTTCAGACATCTCTCTTTTCCTACCTACCCTCTTCTGTCTGTTCGTCTCTCTTTAAACCATAAGCCACATGTTTGTTTCTTCTGGTTAAAACAAATAAAAACTTACTGAGGCTTGAAAAAGGGATATTTAAATACCACAGTAAGAGAAACCTTCATTTTGTTCCTCTACTTTCATACTCTCCTTGTATAAAGGAAACATTGTTTCTCAGAATCATTTCATTGATAAATAGCAATGAAAACTTGAACACTACTCATTTGGGGGAGCTTTGGGATTTTAGGCAGGGTGTTAGGCTCAAAACTTCTATGAGCTTTTGTTTCCCCATGTGCTCAAACGGGAATAATAACACCTACCTCATAAGATTGATGTGCAGTTAATTAAATCAGATCGTACATACAAAGTGCCTGGAACACTGTCTAGGGAATAAGTAGGAACTCAACAAAGGTAACCTCGTTTCAGCTTTCTCATGAAATAGCCAACTAAATGGTTGAAGAGAGTTGGACTATTTCATAGAAAAGATAACGTTTGAACAGGTTCTTCAAGTTCAAGGATGGGTAGAATGGGATAATGGAGAGATGGGGGGTTATTTAAAGTGCCGTTTAAGGTAAATTAATACAGGAGATGAAACTGGAAGGACCAGAGGCTGGAGGCAGGGAGAGAACTGTTGTGTGTCTTTGGCATACATCTAGGCACAGCGAAGGGAAGGGGTGAGTATTAGAAACATACCAAAGACAAAACTCGGAAGAATCACCGACTGGAGCAATGATGCCTCTAGGAACTCAAGCTTGGTAGAAGACTGGAAGTGTGACAGTGCCATTGAATGAAAAGAGATATGGAGGCAGGGAAAGGTGTTTGGGGTGCTGTTGAAGATGGGATTTAGAAAATGGTGTGCTTGAGGTGATATTTTACTAGATATTTAAGATTCTTTATGAAATATTAAGATTTTTAAATAGAGGAAGAGAAGAAAACCAAGACTTTGGTAGGACTTACCCAAAAAAAAAAGAAGGAAGAAGAAATGGACATTGTCAGAGGAGATTTTCCTTATTTTTTAAAACCATGTCATTGGAGGAATTATCTTAGAAAAGAAAGGGTGGAGGACCAGATATTAAATGTGATGAAAGTACTGGGTTAGGGAGGGAGAGAAGGAAGCTGAAGGGGCATGGAACCCTTGGGAAAGGACTAAGGAAGGTAGAATGCGATGGAGAGTGGCTGGCGGAGAGGGGTGCACATGGCCCAGATGTGGAAGAGAGCCAGCTGCAGACAGGGCGTGGTGGCTTGCGTTTAGCCCTCCCAGCAGCTGTTTCCCTTTTTCCACTTCCATGTCTTCCTTTCTCCATGTTTTTGCCATCATTAAATGTTGAAAGCAGAACCAGAAATGTGGAGGGCCACCCCTTATGTTCTCCTAAATTGTCTTTATTCTGTTTGGCTTACAAAAAGCCCTGAACTCTGAGACCTCAGGCATAATCTCCCAATGTAAGTGAAGTCCTATCAACTTTTTCTCCCTGCTTTTGGAAAGGTATGAGGTACAGACACAACTTTAAAATATTTTCATCAAAGACTTGTGCAAATGAGACAGTGCTAGTGAATATGAACCCTATAACATGTGCAGATAAATTGTTGCTCAAGGGTAGTCTTTAAATCACTTATTTCTTTTCATTTGTGGATTTTTTTTTTTTTTTAAGTAAGCTTAGTGACCTGTGTTACTGTTGTTATAAATACTTAGACTCTCCACAGGGAATTGAAGGTGTTTGTGCAGCATTATGCCTCTTGGATGTAATTGTCATTTGAACCTTAAATTATCTTTTCTTTCATGCCTAGTTAATAACCATTTGATTACGTGATTGTACAGAATGAACATAGGGACAATTAACTGGCAGGGGGTCATCTCCGTCATTTGTTTCTTCTAGAAAAATGTATTCCAGCTTGTTTCAACATGTAAAATAGAAGTTTGCAGTATTCAAAATGGTTTAAAAGGATACACAGATTCTTTGACTTCCTAAAAGTTTTAAGACTCTTTTTAGTCCTCTCAATCAGTCATGAGAACAAAGAAAAAAAATAAGGATTTTTTTTAAAGTTTGTATATAGGAAAGTAGAATTTTGCAATTTAACACATATAAATGAGGAAAGGTGAGTCTCCATTACACGAAATAGGTTATGTACATTTCCTAAAATCTTGCTTTGATTGTTAAGAAAGTTTTTTTTTTTTTTTTTTTGTGAGACAGAGCCTCAAGCTGTTCCCCTGGGTAGAGTGCC